GTTGACACCTTAGTCTATATGCAGTTGTGGTAGCACAACTCACAACTCTAAGGTCGAGGGGTGGGATACTGAGTATTATTTCTACCGCCTCGGTAGGTGTCGATTTCATGGCTCCTGAAGGTTCCCTGTAGGCTTTTCAACAGGTTCTCTGTTTCCGTCTTACTCACCCTCGGCCACCAGACGACCGCAGCGGTCAACAGTCTCGGAAGTAAAACCATTTGGTAGAGCCAGAGCATCATTTTAGGATTGAGTCCCCATGTCCTGCCCACAGCTCTCCTGCATGCCCACATAGAGGCAAACACTTTATTTCTCTGAGTACAGATATGTTCTTTCCAGCTGAGTTTATTATCCAGGAGGACACCCAGATATTTCACTCTGCTGGTGTAGTTAATCTCCGAGCCATTTAGCTTCAGAGGTTGGATCTTTTCCAGTTTATAATTTCTGGTGAAAACCAGGATTGTTGTTTTGGCTGGATTTACCGATAGGCCAGTTACCCTGCACCAGTCCTCAATGATATTGAAGGCTGTTGCCATCAGGTCCCTTAGCACCCTCAGAAATCCGCCTTTCACAGCAACTGCCACATCATCGGCAAAACCGGTGATGTGGAAGCCGGCCTCACTTGATTTAGAAGTCCATCTACAACCAGGTTGCATCGCAGGGGCGAGAGAACTCCCCCCTGCGGACAGCTCCTAGTCGGACGTCCCTCCACACATGCCCTCCCATGTCCTGCCGACAGTCTTCTGCCTTTCAGCATGTTTTGTGTCCAAGCAATGATAGTCTTGGACACCTGTCGTTCTTCCATGGCTTTTTCTATAGCCGGATTCGAAGTGCTATCAAAAGCCCCCTCAATATCCAGAAAGGCGCCTATGGCAAAACCCTTGACCGCCAGTTGTCCCTCAATCAGTCCCACCAGGTGATGTAAGGCGGTATCTGTTGATCTTGCCTCCATGTATGCATATTGACAGGTGGAGAGAGGTCTGTCAGCCAAGGGCCCGGCCTTGATGTGTCTATCCACCAGCCTTTGCAGGGTCTTCAGGATGAAGGATGTGAGGCTTATAGGACGGAAGTCTTTTAGTTTTATATAACCGGTTTTTCCAGGCTTGGGAATGAATACTATCCTAGTCTCATTCCACACACTAGGGACATGTTTCAGGGCTATACTAGCTTTGAGTATCTTGGTTAG